TGTTTGATAATGTCGACGCTTCTCATATTTGCCTTAACGCCGTTCGACTGTATCACATAAACGCGTCAATCGTGGGGACGCATGTTAGTGTACGAGTGGTCTGGGTGACATACCTTCGCTAATTTCTGGAGTCGAGCCCTCGGAAGGGCCTTCAGCTCTGCTTCATTCATTTCTGAGTTCAATATGGATGAATCTGTGCTCTGTTGGGGTCTGGAGAGGGAGGGATGACGAGAGTGGATGGAGAGCGCGTAGTGGCGGAGAACAAGGTTGTACAAGAACATTGCGCGCCTAATTCATGTTGGTCATTGCGACCTCGCGACCGGCGCGGGAAATGCGCCACTTGCCACTCCAGTGTCTGCGACCTCGCTGTAAACTTTCGATACCGATGGTGTTTTAGTTATCCGCCTCGCATAGACAAGCTTTCCGCAAGTATCGGTCATCCGTAATATTACTTCTAGCTTCATGACCAGCCTTCAGGCACTCATTCGGAGAACTAACAGTGATATTCTACTGCCGGACGTGAGTAGAAGCAATGTGATGCTATAAGATGGTCTATAGAAACGATGCGAAATCTAGGGGATACATGCAGGAGGGTATAAGTATGTAGATTGCGATGGCGATGGAGATGAATGGATGTGGTTACGGAAGCGGAGAGGAAATATATGGAATACGAATCAAGCCGTCCTAAGTATGGGGAGGTGTTCCGCGACTCACGCAGCACCGTCAACGCATGACCGCTTGCTCGAAGGGACGTCCGGGTTCTCCAGCCGTCTCTTCGTCGACGAAGAGGCCATTGAACCTTGGAAGATGGGGGCAGTGGGGGCGGATTCGATTCGAGGGGCAAGCTTGGTCGCTGGTTTCAGGTCGGGTCCCTTATCGTTTTCAGGCCAGAGGAGGTCTCCAATCTGACCAGTGATGAAGTTGATCACCGAGCTATGGGACTGAACTTTCTCGGCAAGCGTGCGAACACTGGTCGTGGACGGTCCTGCGCTGGGCCCGTCTGCAGCCAGGTTCAGACCGTTCTTGTCATCGATAGGCTCGCTGTCCTCAAGTTTGGAGGCCATCGCCTTGAGAGCCAAGGCCCGCTTGCGGCTCGGGTCACTTTCAACCGCAGACTCCTCGACCACCTTGGGTTCGACCAGCTCATCGAGCGAGTAGTGCGCGCTCAGCCAGGAGAGGATAGTCTTGAAGATCTTGTTGATAGGATGCGCCTCTTGGTCCTTGATGGGCTTGGAAGCCTGGTCGGCTGGCTTCATGAAAGCCAGGACCGCAGTTTTGTCTCCATTGTACTGGCGCAGCCGAATGACGCCGCTCGACAAGGCCTCGAGCTTCCGAGACCCGCAACGGTAGCCTTCGGGAAAGTTGGAGTAGCCATCAAAATAGTCGACTAAGAACTGGCCGACGTTCGCGGGATTGATGTTGTGCGGGAGGAAGCGGATGGCATAGTAGAGCAAGACGTTGAAGAAAGATTCGAGCTCGTCCGGTATGTCGATCTCTTTGCTAGGATCGTTGAGTGCATGTGCTGACATAAATTGCCACGTTCCCTGCCATTGCACAAGGACGCGTCAGCGACGAGAGCCGAAGGAGAAATATAAGCTAAAAACGTACCGTCCGGTCAGGCTGACGAACCTCTGAAACTCCAACGACCTTGGAAAGCTCCCAGTCGTTCAGCAACCCTACCCACGATCCGTCGGCTTCCTTATACAGCAGTATATTTCCCGCGCTGATATCCCGATGGATGATCCCAGCTTTCTTGTAGGCGTGTGCATGAGCTGCAACGGCGAGTCAGCTGTGACACTGGACGTATAAATTGATATCCACGCACCAATGATGCAACACAACACAGCCATGACAAGTGTCCATCCGCGGTCGAATTGATCCAAGGGCTTGCCGACCTCTGCAACAACGAGACGATAGTGCTGATGTTTTTTCATCGAGCCCTTCTTCCCCTTGTTGGCCTTCTCCCAGACGACCTGCGACCTCGTGACTTGCGTGGCACCTTTGAGGTCGCCGTGGCAAACTAGGGTAGGAACGAAGGGAGTCTCCTTGGCGTTCAACGTCTGCAGAACGCTGCCCTCGCGCTCGATCCCAGGATGGTCGACGCGCCACGCGTCCTTGAGGTAGACGAACGGGCCTTCCAGATTGTCTTCAGCGTTGATGCGGACAGCAACGTATCCACGCGTCCCGCGGCAAGCGACCCCTCCAGCTTGGAAGTGGGGTTTACCGACGACGAAGTTCTGGATCTCGACCTTCGCGCCATCGGCCTTCGCGCGACCAGACTTGGACGACAGGGTAGAAGCCTTTTTCTCGACGTGCACCTCGAGCTTCCACCATGCCCAAGACTTGTCCAGCGACTGATTGAACAGTTGCTGGACATGGTCTTCTGGGTCGGCTTCCGCGGCTTCGCTGCCCCACTCCTCCATCTTTCGACCGAGTTCGGAGTCTGGTTCGATGCGATGCGCGGTGGGATCGAAGCCACGAGCGGTGGGAAAGAGGCGAGAGTAGCGAACGAGGAAACGGGTAAGCGCCGCACCCTGGGTCTTGTACTCGAACTTGTAGGAGGCGTACGCGCCCGACCGGTCAATGTGGACGACACGGGCGTAGTGGCCGAGGAACAAGACCATGAATTGGAACGTTCGCTGCTGGTGTTTGAAGACAAGCTCCGCGTACGAGAGTATCTGTCCAAGCGCCTTCTTCCGGTCCGCAGCGACAGGCTCGCCGTCGGCTTGTCGATCGTCGAACGGATCCTGGTTGGTGCGATGGAGCTTACACTCTATACCCAACTCGAGGCGCGACCAGTTGACGCGTCGATTGTGGGTCATCTCCTCGTTCTCCGAGCCCTGGTCCTCCAAAGGGGGCAGTTTGTTATGATACATGCCGCAGTCGATAGCCTGACGAGATGGGTCGGCAACGTCGGCCTTGTAAGGGGTGGCGACAAAGGTATGGTTGTTAAACAGTTCCGACCGATTCAAGAGGTCGACCTTCACGTACCACGTTAGATTGAAACATGGGATAAGGGAAATGAACGTACTATCCACGTGTACATCTCACTCTCCGACGCAAAGTCGGGGACATTGGTGAAGATGTTTGGGATGGTTTTCATATTAGGATTGGGAGCGGGAAGGAAATCCGACATGAGCGACTCCAACGGCGTGATCCCGATCTTTCCATGCATGGTGTTGCGCAGTTCAGCCCGAGCCTGCAGGAGAGTTGGGTTGAACGTGGAGTCAGCATTGATACGCTGTGTTTTGTTCGGGGAGGAGCCGACGCCAGAACGAGGATAAGGCAAGGCAAGAAAGCCGGCACGATTCTCAAGATCGTTAGCAGTGTTCGACATTGAGGATGGTGGTGAGCAGGGTAGCAGGGTGGTGAACGGGTGTAAGGATGGTGGTCGGAAGGACGGAAGGACGGAAAGACGAACATACCTCGTCGCCAAGCGGAGTTTTGTACGGTTACGAGGGCCAGACCACGTTCAAGTCACGTAAGCAGATCGGACGCAGACGATCGCCTATTGTGTGCCCAATGAGGTGGCAGTGGCGGTATGAGCGCAGGAGTTGAGTATCAGAAGCGCCCAAACATCGATATTTTAGGGTCACGTGCTCCTCTCGCAAACACCTTTCCCTCTTACTGCGTCCTCGGCGCCCCAACCACCAACGCCGATTCGCGACTTTCCTCAACAACTGTGAGGACATTCCAAATCATGGTGAGACATTTGGGCTAATATAGCTATCCATGACCCATCCAAATGTGCGATGTTTCATTTGGTGGCTGTGTTAAAGTGGTTAGGACAACCGCTCCCACTCTTCGGAGACACTCTTGAGCATACAACTCACAGAATCTCATTAGATGACAACCACTCGGTCTATTTAGTGTATTTCTGACATTTGTTTTCGATGATAATGATACATTCATGCATTCTCCTTACGTACGATCCGCACGTCTTCCGTTGCGCCATGGGATTGAGTACGTTCGCGATCGCGTCGTCGCGGTAGTGGGTACACCTGCATAATAGGTATCGAGGCATGCGCACCTCGTGCTCCAGGTTGATGGCCTTCCTCTCGCTGCCCATCTACACCCTCGACGTCCTCCCGCAGTCCTCCTGCATGAGCTCACGGTCCCGGAAAAGCGCGAGAGTCGCACCGTGCTGCATTACATTCCCTAAATTCACGTTGAGACGGGTAGGATGCCGCCAATCCGATCCCTCGACGTGTGTCGTGGAACTAGCGGGAGATGTGCCGCTGGAGGGAAGGGCTTCGGCAGCGCACGTCCTAAGACTATGCGGGCTTTCTCCATCTGTCAGAACGGATGTCTGTATTGCTCCACATTGTTCGCAGAGTCAAGCTTGCCTGGAGTTACGATGACCCTCTGGACCTTTCTCGACGAGCTGGGCAGGGTTTGAGGTAGGACGTTGTATGGGCGGTGACCGTGTCTCACGAGAGGCATCCTTGTCGTCTTCAGCCGCACAGAATGACAAGGGGGTTTGACAGCCCAGTCACATCATCGGCGTAGGATCTCATCCGGTCCCACTTGGGTCGTCCCTCACTGCCTGTGTAATGATAAAAGTATAGATCAAGAAGATTGTCGACAAGATATTGGGAAAATTCGTGAGGTAGGAGCAGGATGAGGTATGCGGCGAATGGCGTAGTGAAACAACACGTGAAAGTCGTAGCCTGATGGGCAATTCAAAGATGCCAGCATGAAGTGCCAAGTGTCCTGTTAATTATCCCGCAAGTCATGTCTCAATGCAGCCAAAAACAGAGAACGATACTTACTATCCGCTGGCCCAAGCGGGCCTCTGGGTTCCCATCCACGACCGGGCTGGTGATGGCACAGTGCAAGGTTGATCAAGACACGAGGCGCCCGCAACCGGTACCAAATTGAGTGCCTGTTTATCTGCATGCAAATCCAAGTTGATCAAAGGCAGAGAAACTTATAGTTGCGGAAGGACTACATCATCGAGAAAGACTCTAGTGCGTACGCCAGTCGTAAGAAGAAAAAGTTGACAAGAGCGGGATTTGAACCCGCGCCTGGATACCCAGATGAGAAAACCCGCGCTTGCGCAGGTAAGCTTTCGCTTGAGTCACACGCCTTGGACCGCTCGGCCATCTTGCCGTTCTTGAGCTGCGCACAATTGTGTATAGATCCAGGCCTTGTTTGACTGTGCCCGAACACTCAAACTCAACTCTGACCGCTGAAGTCCTCAGGCTCCTGACCGTTACTTATCGCCATGATCCTGCACCACATCGTATCTTTTCGCGTTTATGATACAGCATCCATCCATTTTACATAACTGAGTGTCACTTGGCCTGCAAGTCGATACGATACCTACGTGCCTTCAATCTCAAGTTGCACTCTCGCGCCCCGGTTCATGTGACATCACGAGTCGGGGCTGACCATAGAGAAATAAGGCCAGAGCTGACATACATATTAGATGGTCTCTATGCTACCAATTCCCTCCATATTTTCCTCTGAATGAATGAATGGAGACGACCGGATGGCATTTTTAAGTTGCAGCCTCTGAGACACAGCGTCGTAATACGGCCAGGTACTTGATCAAGTAGACAGAAGATCACATAAGATTTAGATAGGGAGGTCTTTTTACAACTGAGGTTCGCATTGAAGCTGTTCACGAACTAGCGCGGTAAGTGTGTTTTGTTGAAGTTTTCTCACTGAGAGTGCAGACCGGTTGCTTTGTCCTTGAACCTGGATACCAGCACAACAGAAGCACACGGCCCGTATCGTGTACCTTATGTATCTTTGAACAGCCTGTATCATCGCCAGTCATGGAGGGAGCCGAAACATAGAGACAAGAGCACCTATTGTCCCGGAAAGGGATGCGCACCGCTTCTACGCGGATGGGCCACCAAGCGCGGTCGGACTTTCAATTCACCTCTTCGACTCCTACCACCTCAACCACCACATTATCACACTACACCCGCCGTCTTATCACTATCAAAGTGACGCTGTCATGAATATGAACGCGGAGAAGTTGAAACTTTTGTCTCGAAAACAGATCCAGGCAGTAGCCATCGTGCGTCATCCTTCTCATAGGTTCCGTAACCACCTTGGCCAACGGTCGATACAGGAACACGGCATCAAGGGTAACATGAGATCTGAAGATATGATCCAAGTACTAGTGAAGCGGTATCCAAACGGTGTTCCGTAAGTCGCGCGGAAGTCGCGTCCAGACGCGACTATTCGCTGACATTATACAGGCTCAGGCTACCCGACCCACGTCCAGCGTCATCGCAAAATGGCGCAGTTACATGTGTGTCTGGTTTTCGTCTCAGCATATTCGATTGCTCAAATCATACCTTAGCTCGTACAGTGATAATGCAATGGAGCGAAGCACAAGGTTCGATACGGCCCACGCTGAACTATGTATATACAGAAGTCTAACTTTCCGGATAGGTCGCTATATCGAGATACCAGTGGAAACATCAAATCTTAACCAACGACCACCGCCGATTGCGGGACCGTCGCAACCTCAGAGTCAATATCAGTCCCTCGGCGTGTTCACGTTGTACGCAACGCCAGTCCTATCTCTCATCAGGCATCCTAATTATTGACCTTGTCGCACGTCAGGCCAGCCACCAATTACACTACAGCGCAACGGCCAACAGCATCTAGGATTTCAACAGCGTCTAATTGTACAACTTCTGCTCCTCAAGCCTGTCAAACTGCTTCTAGCAATAGCTACATGCACTATAAGAACGCACCAGAGTTCTTGCCAGGTGAAAATCTCTGCTTACATCATATCGGACCTGGAGCTGACGTCGAAGTTAACCTAGGTCCTCAAATGTTTAGCGCATCCACCAGACTACCTGGCCCCGCAGATCAGATGGAAGCGCGTCGTGTGAGCAACTCTTGTTCTCGTCCGCACGCTCAGCAGGCGCCATATCCTGTGGTAGCTCCATCCACTGTATGGCGCGCCCCTGCGTCTGCTATGGGCTCAACGACACGGCCAAGCAGCCCTGCGCGATCCGCAGAACCCGCACTACTGGATGACTCTGTTCAAGGTCCGGGATCAGGGTGGCTGGAGCCACCCATTATCCACGCACCTCTCGAAGTGGATACTCCCCCTGGTGTGGCACAGCCGACTTTACCTACTATGCATCCACGAGAGGCCTGCGATCCCGTACAGAAGGATGTGCAGCCTGCACAGCCGTCGCTGGCTACGGACTCGAACCTCTACGACACCGTTCGCAAGATGGCAAGTATCGCGAAGTTCCAGCAACACTGCAGGAACACCCTCGAGGGCATGAATACGGCCACGAGCATCACGGGGGAGACCTTCTCCGACCTTGACGCGCTCGTTCAGCAGGAGTGCGTTCACTTCCAGCGGATGAGCACGTTCGTAGACCATGTCCACCCCGAGCTTGCCCCGAGATGGAGACCCAATGTGATCTGGGATAAGGCGTGCCCAACGTATCTTGACGATGAGGATAACTTGCTTGAATACGATACTGACGACGAAAATGCACCAAAGTGGGTGACTCGATGAACCCATCATCTCAGAATCCTCGCTCACATACCTTCATTAGATCGCCAGCGCCGGTCATGGTCAGAAGGCACCTCAAACCGCCACCTCGCAAGGCGTCCCCCGAGCACGATGAAGCCGCAGGAAATGACATGTACGCCACTTTCACTCACTCCTGGTGGTCCGTTCGCTCAAGCTGATTATATGTATATTTTAGTGGACCGGGACCCGCGTATGGACCGGCTGTGACGGAGAGCGCGTCAGCTCCTGCCTCTTCAAAGCGGAAGCACGTCGATGAAGATGACCAGCTCGAATCACCTCTCGCGAAGAAGCGCACACGCAGGTCACGGGCTACTATGCCTCGACCCGGGACCCCCGCCCCAAGTCGACTGACGCGGTCGGCCGTGAGGAGGAAGATCGCTGAGGAGCGGGCCTTGGACGGGATCAACGAGGATGAGGAGGAACAGGACATGATAAGCGTGCTGAGCATCCTCACGCAGCCGATCGACGATGACAGCGAATGACCCAGCCTCTTGGCACGTATCCCCTTGAGAGTCTCGGTCTAAGGCTGGCAGCCTGGGTTCCTTCCATACTCGCCGTCCATTTCCGCATGCCTCAGCAATGACCATCCTGCTACCATCTGAGAGCCGTATCGATATTTTCTTTATTTTGTGAATGTTTTGTATTTCTTTCAGGATGTCTTACGCACAATGCGGCAATTCAAGTTCATACTCACTGTCGCAACCACCCCGGCGTCTCTCAATCGGAGCGCAGCGCTTCCGTCGGCTATATCAGTTCCGCCACCTCCGCCTCTACACTTCTTCCGACTTCCTGCAAATCCCGCGTCTGTGTATGAGGAAATTACAGGAAAGGTCTTATCTTTGGTATCATTGCGTTGGCGTCTAGCAAAGTCCCGGACGGGCCTCAGACGGCGAGGAACGCGGCGGCACGCCTTTGACCCCGCAGTTCGAACACCTGGTGCCACAGCGTCGCGAGTAGTCTCGACCACCACTCGACTCGCATTGGTGATGATATTTGTCGTGGCCGATGTGTCTCTCGTAACTAACCTCCTTCGCAGGCACACGCGAGTCACTGCTGATCGTGCGCCGATTACGATTAAGGTGAGTCACATCCTGCTTAAAGACAGTCAAAGGTCGACACGCACGTCGCACACCAAGCGAGATATATCTTGCTCACATCTGCGATCGTGGCTGGCTGACCACCTTGTTCTTCTCCAGATCTGTCTGTCGCTAGCTTTTCAGGCCTCATGGCTACCAATCTCGAGAGTCAGATTCTGATCGTTGGCGCTGGAGTGTTTGGCCTCTCCACGGCCTTCCACCTTCTCAGCAGAGGACATAAGAATGTTACGGTCATAGACCGTTCGCCGGTTCTGCCGGCTCCCGATGCCGCTAGCACTGACAAGAACAAAAGTGCGTGGAGTCTGTTAATCAATGGCTGCAGCCGTGTCATCTGATTGCTTGGAACGTTGTCAGTTGTCAGAAGCTCCTACGCCGACCCGTTCTATACTGCGCTCGCCCGCGAAGCCATAGCTTCCTGGAAGAACACCGAAGAATGGGGAGATAGCTATCACGAGTACGTCTATACTGAGGTCGGATCCTTATCAGGACGACCTCGAGGCTGACGGCGATTCTTCCAGATGCGGGGTGTACTGCGCGATGCAAGGACAGGATAGCTACATCGACGAAGCGTACAAGAACGACATCGCACATGGTGCGCGCGTCGACGAGCTGCCAAACCCAGAAGCAGTCCGGGCCATCTTCCCCGCCGGGGTGGATGTCTTCGTCCCGGACAATGCCCGCGGCTTCCTCAACCGCGACGGTGGCTGGGCCTTCGCATCGCAAGGTGTCGAACGCATGATGGCCAAGGTGACCTCTCTAGGTGGGAAGATCATCCCAGGCAAGGCAGTCGCAGAGCTTCTGCAGTCCAACGGGAAGGCCACCGGGGTACGATGCGCCGACGGCAGCGTCCTCGAGGCAGACGTGGTTGTTCTCGCCATTGGTTCTTGGACAGCGTCCACGTTCCCCGGTCTGGGTCTCGACGGGCAGTGTCTTGCCACTGGGTGAGGACGTCCGCCCCTTATCACCGCGCGTCGAGCTAGTCTGACTCCTGCGCGCGCGTCGGGCAGACAAACCGTGACATTCGTGCAACTCAGTCCCGAGGAAGCAGACCGGTATCGAGAGTGCCCCGTGTACCTCGACTTCCACACGGGCTTCTACATCTTCCCGGTGAGTGAGCGGGACGTGCCTGAGGGCGTGCGGGACACAGCTGATACATGCCATGTCGCCCCGTGTGCAGCCGAACCACGAGAACATCATGAAGATGGCGATTCACTCTGGCGGGTTCGTGCGGAAGATCAAGGCAGCAGATTCCGATGTCTTCGTATCGACCCCGCGCACGGTGGTCTCGGACGGCAATGATGGGCTGCGTATTCCGAAGTCTGCCGTGCAAAGACTCAGAAGCGAACTCGCGCGCATCTACCCCGACCTGGCCAAGAAGCCGTTCAGCGGAACGCGGCTGTGCTGGTAGGAAATTTGCACACCTTTCAAACGTGCGAGTTGGGAAGTTGAGACAGTCTTTTGGCCCCTGCCCAGGTACACCGACTCCACCAACG